GGAGGGGAGGTGGAATAGGAAAGACAGTAGAATGAATCAGACATAACTCTCCTATGTTCATATAGGAATACATCCACCAGTAAAACTCCACATCATGTACAACACAAGAATGGGATCCTCAATGGAATAAGTTGTACTCCATGTGTTTTATATGTCAAAATATACTCTATTTACATGTATGTCTAAAAATAACAAATAAAAAAAGAGTGTTATTTCCTCCTCTTTTATCAGCAAAAAGACTTTTTGGTGTATTTTATTCCTAAAGTTGTCATAAGAGTCAGCAATATCACGGAGTCCATGGCCACCACCTGCTCTGGGTCACTGTCCTGAACACGACACCTCTCACTTCTAGAGTGGACAGTGGGAAGGATGGCTCTGCCCAACAGCTGTGTTAAACCCTCCCCTAAGAGGGCAGGAGCTAGGGGAGAGATGACCAGAGGGAGGGAATTCTACTGTGAAGAGGTGCTCAACAAAGCTGGAAGAGCAGGCAAGTGGAAGATGTGGACCCTGTGCTCAGCAAGGTCATGGGCCAGGCCAAACTGTGGGACAGGTATGCCCAACTCCTTGGAGTTTTTGGGCAGTTTTGTTGTTTGGTTGGGAACCCTGGAACGTTAAATCATAGCCATGTCCTAGATCTTGCACACACCCTAGACTCACCCGTTTAATCCTCACAGTAACTGTGTGAAGTGGTGACCATTGGTCTTCTCCCTTACAGGTGAGTAGATGGGGACCTATGGGGTTAGTGGCTTGTCCAGCATCCACAGTGAGGAAACTGTGGCTTAGGCTAGGGGCCCATGCATGTCTCAGGGTGTAGGCTGTGCGCTGGGAAGACACAGGTCACCGCCCATCAGAGCCAAGAATACCATGGGTGTAGCTCCCCATGGAGCTCTGCATGGCTTATGCCACCTCCCCTCTGCGCTCAGCTCTCTGCCTTCCTGCCTGCTCTTGGGTTTCCTTAGGGAAGCTTGGAGACAACCTTTGGAAAGTGTGTTGATGTGAGTTTGGTTGCCACACAGATCAGAGTAGAGATCACACTTTTCATTTTGTCTTACATTACCATGCCCTTCCCTGTATGTGTTTCTCCCCCATAACTCAGACATGTAGATGCCAATGAGATCACCTTGCTTCCTTCCTGTTTTACTGTGCACTGTGTGGTGGGGGCTTATCCTGAAGAAGAGCGTACAGAGGTGGATTCCAAGCAGCTCAGCTGTGGACCTCACTTTCCTTTCTGTGCTAAACTGAGCTTAAAAAGCCTATCCCAGCTCAGACAGAATGATGACAAGAGTCTCAGAGGCTCTGATTGTATTCAGGTAAGAAATCACAGTCTTCTTCCAAGCCTTGTGAAAACTGCACGTAAATGGGTAATAGCTTCCTGCTCGTGTTTCTTCCTCACCTGGCTGTGTTCCAGTGACCACTTTTGGGGCAAACTCAGCTATGCTTTTCCTAGCTGATTTGCTTTTCTTTCCTGAGAAGGTAGGTTGGGACAATGAAGTAAGTGTGTGTGTGTGTGTGTGTGTGTGTGTGTCTGTGTGTGTGTGTGAGAGAGAGAGAGAGAGAGAGAGAGAGAGAGAGAGAGAGAGAGAGAGGTGTGTGTGTGAAGCCTCATTGTTCTCCCTGATTGGCAGAGAAGAATGGGGGTCATGTTGGCTGTGACTGCTGCTTGACTGGTCCGTCAAGGCCTCTTTGTGGTCATCTGCATGGAGGGCTCCCTGCCTAGCACCACCTCTCAGATGCATTGCCTCCTGGTGGGAAGGAAGGGCTGCAGACTGGTATCAGGAACTGGGCACATGCTGCTCTGCCCTTAGCAGCTGGGGGCCCACCCAGGGCCTGACTTTTTTGAATGACATTTGTTTTTTTTCAAATGGAGAGAAAATGATCTATCTTTAGAGTTATCATGAGGGGTAAATGAGATCATAAGGTGATAGGCACAGATCCTGGATGCAGAAAGCATTCACTTTAATGACCATGGTTGTTGTTAATCCTCATCAAACATAATCCTAGCAATAATGAGTGGGGGAGAATCCCCTTTCTTTCTAGGATACTTTAGGGATACCTTCAAGCAATGGGGATGTGAAGAGCTGGCCCCAGATGGAAAATAATAAATAACATAGGAAATGCTAATGAGATGGCTAAGTTGAAAAATCTGAAGAAAAACATCTTATGTGTGAGAATGTGTGTATGCATGTATCCATAGATACATCTGACTTAGAAAAATATTCACTATATGTAGGAAAAAAAACACAACAAYAACAACCCTGAAAGCAAGTTCTTTAAATGTTAGCTTTGGGTGTCTCTGGAAAATGGGATTACATACAATTTTTAATTTGTTATCCTCTTTTTATATTTCCAAATTATTCAAAATAAATATTGCCTGCTTATAAGTTTATGGGCATGGATGAATTTTGAAAATGCATGTACAGAGTTTGTTGAGACATGAGGGAGCCAGACACTGTTGAAATTTATGAAACCACACAGATGTGAAGTCAGAAAAATGTCAAGGGGATTTCTTTTTTCAGAAGAGAAAAGGTCAGGAATAATATAGATCTCATCACTACTTTCTCCCTTAATTACGCCAAAGGAAACAGGCCAGGCTTTCAGCTCTGTAGACTGTAGTTTTTATTGCCAAGCTCTGAAATGTGTATTGTGGGTCATCCTGAGTCTCCTCTATGCTTAGTTTGTGTTCCAGGATGCAGGTCCGGGATCCTGCTGAGTAACAGGACCCAAAGAGGGATTCCTCTGTTCTCTCCTCTTTGGGAAGAAGAATGAATTTGAGACAGTGAGAAATACTATCAGGGTGGTGTCAAGTTTAAATTTTGAATGGCCTGAAGCCTCTTGGGAAATTTCCTGGTGAAACTCATTTTATTTTTAGCTTTTTAGAAAAATAATATAACTATATAAAATAGTTTAGAAACCATTTCATAATGCTCAACTACAATCATAAAATACTATGTGTTACTAAGTACAACAGCATATTAAGCAATAATGAAATCAGCTACATGTAGCCACTGCAGAGAGGATAAAATGGACTTTGGACCCTTCCCCCATTTCCAAATTTCCTCCTTAAAGGCAAGAAGGCAAATCCTGTGCGTTGTGTAATATGGTGCTGCCCTGTGCTGTTCTGAGACCCTCAGGGTTAGGCTTTCCAAGGAACCTGCACTGCATTAACCACTCTTCAGAGGGACAATGGTGATTCTAAGAACACTGTAATGGCTTAAAAAACTGTTTTGTTTGAGTCAAAAAGTCATTCTCAGCCAAATAAGTCATGATTCCTGGGTTTTAAACCATTCATTATTAATATTCATTAAGAACCTACATTGGTGGATAAAAACAGCATGGCGGCCATTCATAAGGAACTCACAGTCTAATGAAAATAATTGCATCAGTAATCAAACTCATTCTTTTACATTTACCTCTTATTTAATGCATCAAAGCTGATGGCTGTGTGTGTGTGTGTGTGTGTGTGTGTGTGTGTGTGTGTTGTTTTCTCTAAATCTATATGACACAGTTGAGAAAATGGAAGCATAGGGTAGTTAAATAATATGATCAAGGTCTTTGAAATAGTGGGCTTTCCCAGTAGTACCATGCATTAAACCATTCCTGGGAGCAACAGAAAATACCTAGATATTTGTTGACTCATTGAGACATTTTTCCTAAAGATACCTGAAGCCCTTCTAGATTTACAATTATGAGAGATTGGAGAAGTAGACTCAACTAATTGCATAAGCCAGTTTGAGCTGTTAAAAATACTCTAATTATTAAATTTCTTAGGCAAAAATTCTTCTACCTTCCTTCCTTCATCTGCCCAAATCAAGGCATCTACTCTATGCCTTTGTCCCTTCACATTCCCCTTACTGGCTAGGAAGGCCCCTGAGCAGAGAGTTCTCTGTCATCTGTGTTCTCCATCAAAAGTGGCCATAGGCAGCCCAGACATAGTGCCAAGGGGACTCATGCTGACCTCAAATAGACTCCATTTCTGTCTTCCTGGAGACATGGTGGGTGCTGTTAGTCACAGCTCAGTGGCCTGGTGTTCACTCATCCACAAAACCAGAGTCTTACTGTCTGTCACCAATGAATGCTTGAATGAGAAAAATAGTGGAAATATTTTTTCTTATAATCCCTTCCTTGTGCATTTATGATCCAAAGGAATGACTGTTATTTCTCTATGTGAGTGATTCATGGCACCCACAGCATCTTTATATCATCTGGGCTATTTAAGAAAGGTAGTATATCAGTGTATAAAGTAACATATTCCCAATGATTAGGAGTGAAAATGGTTTCTACAAGTTCTCATAAAACATCATGTGTCCTTTAATGAGATCAGCCATATATTGGTGGTGCACTTGCATCTGCACAATCATTTCCCTTTCACAAAGCTCCTTATTTGGATGATAACATTTTTGGCAGCCTTTCTTTGAGTAGGCAGGCCAGTGTAGCAGAGGGGCATCCTCCCAGGGCTTTGCCTCAGTTGTGGCTGCTGCCCATTGGGAGTCTCCTCCATGCCATTCTGGCTACCATTTTATTTCCACCAGTTGGCCCTGACTTCTGCTACTTGGTCTTCCAGTAGAAGCCATTAGGACATTTTCACGTGAATATGTTGTGTTCTCTGGAGATAGAATTATCTGCATATAAATGGGTGCATCGGATTGAATGCTTGTATTGATGGAAAGCTCTGCATGGAAAGTCCAATGTGGAGGGAGTCTCCTGTCAATGCTAACATTAACCTGAAAGTGTGAATCCCATAGTATCTGGTCTCCTGAGAGAGTTTCTGCTTTTTTTTTTTTTTTTTTTTTGCATTTTGGTTAGGCTGGAGAAAAATTCTAATTGTCTCTCCTAAACTCTAGATTTTTACAATTCAGATAGAACTTCTTTTGGGTCAAAATTCCATGTACAATTTATTGCTGAATCTTGGGCAGAGTTTTGGCTGGATCTTGCTCCCTGTTATTGGGGACACCTCCATTGTTTTGTGCTGCTGATTCTGGTTCCTTTCCTGTCTTTTTCAGGTCCGCATCTCCTTTGCTTCAGTTCTTCAGCTCCAGTTCTAAAGACCCCTGCATTACAGAAAATACTCCATTGCTGCATAATTCCTCACAAAACAGAGGGTGAGATTTTTGTTTCTCTTCTTAAGAATGTAAGAACTCTTTGGGCAATGTCCATGGCACTTATGGTGGAGAATTTCTTCCTGAGCTATAACTTTTTACTTGACATTTGATCTCTATCAGATCCTCGATACATCATTGTAATGGATGTTCCTCATGCTGGTGGTTATATCTGTGGCTTAGGAATTCCCAAAATGACCTTAAGCATAACCTTACAATGATTACTGAGCCCATGTGAGACTGGGGTTTCTCAGCCAGGAGTGAGGTTGGCACTGTCTGGAGACATTTTTGTTTATCACACTGGTACCTGGGGTGCTGTTGGCATTGAAGGTCAGAGGTCAGAGTGATGCACAGGTAACCCTCCCACACCGTCCCACCAGCCCAAATGTCAATAGTAATGAAGTTGAGAAACCCTGTATGTAAGATTCACAAGAAAGTTTCATTTCATGCTAGACAGAAGGTCTTTTCTGAGGCAAACCTGGGTAGTTCTAGAATTGTCTGAGCAGAGCTAAGCTGGAGGATAATTTGCAGAGACACTCCCTCTAGGATGAGGGCTTGGCTAGGTCTTCAGTCACAACTCCTGTTTTTTCTGCAAACAATTTTCAGAAATCCTGAGACACTTCTTGGTGTTCCCTGGCTCCCTACACATTTCGTTACACAGTATGCCCCCTGCTGCCAGCCCCTCAGTGATAGATGGGTGATGGGCATTTCTACTGACCCATCTGCTTAAAGCTTCCCTTTGGGGGAGGGGTGGGATAACTCTTGTCCCTGTCTCTCCTAATCCGTATCTTTGAAAAACAAACACTTCATACATCTCTTTCTTTAATGCTTTCTCTTGAATTATCCAGTAAACTGCTAAGGCCTGAGACATTTTAGAATTTATGATTCACTGGAAAACCAGTGAGGTGGAAGCCTTCGTCTGGAGCATGTGGGACACAGAGACGTGCTCTGGGGTGTTAACTGGGCCTCACATCAGAGGCCAGAACATGGGTCAGCTTTGCTTACAGCTTTTGCATGAAGCTCACTAAAGTATTGGTTGTGGGAAGGTCTTTCTGCTGCTTTACTTTTACTCAATTTTGTGGCAGTTTTAATCAAGATAACATCCATTGATTTACATATTTTCAGAAATAAATGTGTCCTTTTCAGCATATCGAGGGCAGGAATGTTCAGTGGTACAGGGTCAGAGTTTGCYCTGCATTGGCACCGACCAACATGGTGGCTTCTCATCAAACATGGTTATTCAAATTAAAATGAATTAAGTTGAAACAAAATTAAAAATTCAATTCTTCAAGTGTCCAACAGCAATTGGCTACTGGCMTAGGCAAACAGAGAATGTTTCCATCTCTGCAGAAAGTTCTAGTGTACACCACCATTTTAGAAAGCACTGACATTGGGCTGGGGTTGTGGCTCAGAGGTAGAGAGTACACCTAGCATGCATGAGGCACTAGGTTAGATTCTCAGCACCACAAAAAGTAAAATAAAGACATTGTGTCCATCTATAACTAATAATATATATATATATATATATATATATATATATATATATATATATTTAAGAAAGCATTGAAATTAACTTGCTTTGTTTTTTCCATTTATAAGAAAGCACTTTCTTAGTTCCAGTTTTGTTACAGTTGTGTTTCTTCAGCAGTTAAGAGGAGAGAGAAATTATTTTTCACATACCTGAGCATTGTCTAGTCATAGAATTGACAGAAAATATTAACAATTTTCAGTCATTTGTTATCTCACTACATACTGATTTTACACAATCTAATTTTCATCTTGGGGCTTCTCCTTTTGAATATGATTTTTTTTCTTGTGAACCAGTTCTAAAGCCCTGATACATATTCAGGAAAATCATAATACTCTGTTAAGTTAGCTAGGTTTGAGCATCCTCACTTTTTTCTAACATGTAACAACAGATTGCAGCTGTCATTAATGGTGATGTTGTGTTCTCATGTGTATTCTCTGCAATGCATGAACATCCTTGGCATTTGGTACAGCCTCTTGAGAGTCAGGYGCACTTGTACAGAGGGAATTGTTCAGAAGACCAGGGATTCAACCAATTTATGTAAATGGATGTGAGCACCTATAATTTTGTAACAAGTTCCCCTTGGTTTGTCTTTCTAAACATAGACCCCCTTCATGGACCTGTCTAGCCAATACTGATGTTGCTCATTCCTGCTCATATTGCCTTGGATGTTGTGTGGGAAATCCAGGTAGACTACTTGCCCCACAGCTTCATTCCAGAAAGATATTCACAGAGGAGGAAAAGCTTACACCACTCAACTCTGCTTCAGGACAAGTATAATGGATCTAGGTATTGAGAGATCAAGCCCATTCAGAGAAAGACAAAGATTGAAACAAGTGGGAACTGGTCTRAGCCAGTAACAGCTGTATTAGAAGATTCCCCAAATCAAAAAAGACTGATATTTCTTGAAGGCCGACAATTCATTTTGAAGGCCYGAGTGATTCCTGGAGGTTTCCTTTGAGCCAAGTGTCCTGTGATGTCAAGAGACCCATTCCTTCCACCAAAGTGAGCAAGTGCCTCACGTCTTGATTCTTTTGAAGATCAGGGTTGGTTCTATGACATTTCACACCTCACCACTGAGAGGAAATCTGGCTTTGCTGGTGCAATTTCAGAATAAATAACCACATTGTGCTGAGAAAGTTTCTCCCAAGTTTCCAACCCCCTCCCTGGCACTAACCTATGCCTTCATTCCCCAAATAACTGTGTTCAATTGAACTGAAGTTGAGGCACCTGGTGGGAGCTTTGGAAATGGATGATGAATACTGCCATGAAGTAAGGAGAGAAAGTGGGGAAGGACTAGAACTCTTGTTATCATCATTGCAGAAGGATTGGATCCTACACCTCAYTTCCCGTCCTAAACAGACCCAGCATTATTTTATGTAAATAACATGACTTTCYGAGTGTTTTGGGGGCACAGCTATTTTCTGTTGATCCTTTCTGTGTTTGTTGGCTATTTTGTTGGMTGTTTTGTTTTGCTTTTCCTCCAGAGCACCTGGGTCTAGAAAAGGTTTTGAGTTCTATGCTGGTGAAGAGGCTCTGAGGCAGCCTTTGCAGTTAAAACTAATACGTACTTTTGAACTAAATATCCAGGACATTGAATTGACTTTATCATTTTGTACACACACACACACACACACACACACACACACACACACACACACATACACACACAAAGGCAAAGCAAAGCAAAAATAACTACCAAGCTCTCGTTTTCCAGGTCTCGGTGCATGCCTGCTTACTCCTCAGAGTTCATCACCGCTGATGAATCTTGGGAAAACAGCTCGGTTGAGTGGGAAGGAAGATACCTGCTGAGCAGAGACACAGCTGGTTTGTCTACATCTGCCTCCTCAGAGAAGGGGGAGCTTCCGGACAGCACCCACCTCAGAGTCCATATGTCCACACTGAGGTAGGTGGATGCCAGCTCTGGCAGTGGGATCACTGCCATGGGACAAAGCAGGGGTTTCACCCCCACTAAAGTCTTCTAAAACGACAGGGTGAAGAGGAGCATGGCATTTGGCATTTAGCCAGGCTCCACGTTTCCTTAAAAGTTTTCTACTTTTCTCCCAGGCCTTGGAGGACATTTAAAGTGGCCCTGAAAAATCGGTGTGCAGCCCTTGAGGCTGATGACAAACATAAATGACCCACATCCTATACTCCCTGCCTTTTGCTTGCGGGGTTCGGGGTCTGCATGGCCTTTAGGTTTGTAAATAGAATCGATTCACTTCAGGAGTGCCTGGGGCTGGTGTTTCAGAATTTGATACCATCTTTGTGGTTATCATGAAGGTTTGGGTCTAGTTCATGGTGCAGCCTGAGGGATGCAGTGGCCTCCTGCATAGTGGGAGCTGGGAGCCTAAGGCTGCATGTGTGTGTGTGCGTGAGTGGACGGCCAACACACGTGTGGGGAACAAGGATCTCTGGGTCACTGACATCAACAGCCACAGGTGCTGCCCTTGTGGAAGCGCTCTCACTCTAACAGTTTTATTTGCTGGGCTTTTCCCCCTGTGCACATTTATTTGGAGAAAGGGCTCTTTTGAGATCAACCTGTTTGAAAAGCATCATCTCCTGGGACAGAACAAGACTTAGGAGTGAGAATCAGTGGTCCCAATTCTGGATCTGTCCTGAAATAACTGAATGACTGGCAGAACCATATGGGGTCATATTACTGCCTTCTGTCACCTGGTGTCCCTTTGCTCTCTGGCCTTCCATGTGCTAACAGTAAGATGGGCTGAATTGAATTGTACTCAAGTGCTTGCCCCAAGTGCACCTACCTGTGCCCACAGGGGCCACTTTCAAACCCTTGTAATTCGCTGGAACTGTTACTCAGTTATCCTACTGGCAACATTCCTCGGGGTGAATGGAGAGTATCTTGAAGGTAAGGATTTTGCCTAAGGTCACACAGATTGTGAACCAAGATTGGAGCAGGGATTAGACCCCAGGTCCCCCCACKGCTGCTTGACCATGGAGCTGTCTCTTTCCACCAGGCTTCCTACTTATCTGTAGCTTCTTCACCAGGAGTGGTCTCAGTCCTTCTCCTAGGTGCAGCAAAAATTTGTCTCATGTATTTGCCCTGAAATTATGTAAATCATGAAATTATGTGAATGRTAATATGGTCCCATGGGTTATGAGAAGGGTCAACCCTAGCATTGTTAATGTGTTTTCCCTGCTGGCTAACAGCTCGAGAGGATGCCATGTTCTCAACTGCCTTGCAATTTAGATAAATAGAATCCCATACATTTGAGACTTGACTTTCAACWGTGGTTTTATTCTCTTTGATTCCTGGAATAGTTGCCTTGTGCTTGATATGGAACTAAAGGATGTTAGTATCGTATTTTATAATATTGTAACTGAATGCAAGGAGTTCACCTCTTGGTGAATATAAGCCAATAAGTACAACCAAGAGGTAAGAGTGGAGATAGGCCAGGCATGGTGGCACACRCCTGTAATCCAGCAACACGGGAGACTGAGGCAGGAGGATCGAAAGTTCAAAGCCAGCCTCAACAACTTAACGAGGCCCTGAGAAACTTATTGTGATCCTGTCTCAAAATAAAAAATAAAAAGAGATAGGGATGTAGAGGAGATAGTTTTATTACTTATAAGCAAGGTGTCATGGTGTCACCTGAGCAAACAAAGCCAGGGGTTTTTATTGGGGAAACTCATACAAAAAAGACTGGTCATCACATGTAGAGGTAGGTACATTTTTGAACATGTTCAATTTGATATTATGTTTCTTCATGTATCAATTGTTCAAAAAGTGGTGGGTAGGAATGCCTTAGGGTGCAGAGTTTAATATTATAATGAGCAAAGTTTACTCGAGGTCACCTGAAAGGGTTGGGTCAGAATGACACTGATTTTGTCTGGTTCCTTGTAAGTTTCTCTGGYGACCATGTTCAAACAACAACAACAAAACAACTTTAGAGACACATGCACAGTCATTTAGAAGGGCAGCCCCTTTTTCCTGAAAGAACTGATTATTGTCCCTGAAAGTGGCTAACACTATGTCTAGAAAGTGCTGGGCTRGATTAGTGAAGAAACTTGTAAAAAATATTTTATTGTGGATTGTCAGCTCTGCTGTACATGTCAGTTATGTAGAAAGAAATTTGTGTCTAGAACGGCTCAATTAATGCTTCATTCTTTAAAAAGAAATGTCATTTTGATTCCTATTTAAGTAGGAGCTGTTGAATCATAATTTGGAAGCATGAAATGATTATTCATCAAATTCATTAAGTCTAAGAGAATGCGAAAATAAGACTTTACCGTTTTCAAAGGATCAGATTTTTCCAAGTGTGGAACTCAACTCAGTGAAGAGTGTAAGAAAAAAGATGTCCCGACATAGATCTTCTCCCTTTCTTCTGCAAACATATAGCTGGTATAGGCTCTGTGCCAGTACACTTCCTCGTGCAGAGACAGAGCAAACACACCACCTCAGTGACTGCCCTAGCACAGCAGCTGGCAAGAGAGCAAGCAATAGTGCCATAAAGAGATGGGATGCAGGGCTGGGGTTGGGGCTCAGTGGTAGAGCACTTGCCTAGCATGTGTGAGGCCCTGGGTTCGATCCTTAGCACCACATAAAAATAAATAAAAATAAAGGTATTGTGTTCATCTACAACTAAAAAATAAATATTAAAAAAAAAGAGATGAGATGCAGGGTGGGGGCTGTAGCTCAGTGGCAGAGAGCTTTCCTAGCACCACAATAAAAATTAAAAACAAAATAAAGGCATTTTGTCCATCTACAACTACAAAAATAAATAAATAAAACAAAAATAAAAAGAGATGGGATCTGTGGCTGAATGAGCAGAGATGAAGACTGCAGCCAGGGAGGATCTTGGTGAGGTAAAGGTCCTGTGGTAKGGTTGTAGCTGGTGGACTGTGGGGCTGCAGAGGGCAGACTGAGTTCAAGTTCATGTAGGGTCTGGGGGCCACAGTTATGAAGAGGGTGATAGTGACAGGGTTGGAACAACTTTGGAAACCCTCAKTTGGGCTGAGTATGTGACCTGTCAAGTTATCGCCTATAGAATTCTTGAAAAGATCTTGCTAATAAAATCAGTCACAACTTTGCAATTTCTTTCTCGAATTATTTGTTTTTATATTTGATGGTAAATCTATAATTCTACCTTCTGGAAAACGTAAGGGAAACTAATTGATAAATGTGAATTGAAGAGCCAAGATAAGGAACTCAATTAACTTGTSAGAAAAAAAGAAAAAACAAAACAAAACAGAAAACCAGAACTGGAGCCTTCAGAAGGTTAGCAAAGAGTCCCAAATCATGAGCGTTATTTTCAGGAGCTGGAACATGTGTGCAAATGCTCAGGGTTAACACTGATCTCTTTGTGCCTCCACCAATCCCTTTCTGATGCGGCAGCGGGTTTCCTGGCCCAGAGTTCTCCATACCAAGTTATGGAAAGAAGTCACGATGCATGATTTCCAATGGAGATAACTCAGGGCATCAGAAAAGCAGCTGAGGTTGGTCAGGTCTGTCCACTCGCAAACAGGATTGCGGCCACGTACTGCTCATGTCCCGCCTTTTCTCTTGCAGGCGCTGCTTGCAGTGGGTGAAAGTCACGGGTCTGTTTGTCTTTGTGGTGGTGTGCTCTGTGAGTATCATGGYGGCTCCTAGCCCTCCCTCTGTGGGGTCAGTGAAAGTGCGCGAGGCTTGTTGGGTGGATTTGGCTTTCTAGGTTCCTTGGGCTGGGTGGCGGGAGGATCTAAGGTGCCGGATCCATCATTTGTCCTTCTTTGCCCATTTTTCTGAACTTTGTTTGAAGGAGATGCTGAAGGCAAATGGGGATGGTGGACTAGGGTGGCAAGGGAAGCCTGTCCTTCCCCTGTGCATGACCATATATCTGCTCCTCTGGGATGTGACATGTAGACAGCAAGGGTGGTGCATGATGACTGCAATGAGTCAAGTGCCATCAACTCCTAAAACCTATGAGGGAGCAGTGTCCAGAGACAGGAGACCTCTGCATGAATCAAAACAATTACCCTGAACTCTAAAGACTTCATGATTTTATTATTATTATTATYTTTGCCACCTATGTGCCCTTGTATTCACTACTCACACAATTGTGTGGCTGTGAAGCTTSTCTCGGCAAGGCCTGGAGGGTGTGCTGGGATTTCAACGATGAGAGTGAGCCAGGTCTCCCTTGGTCTCTGGAGCTAACTTGAGCTTGGTGCCTACTATTCAGCATTATTTTGGGAATTGCAGATTTTGTGACTTGTAGACACTTTCAAATAGAATATGAAACATTTGTTTTGAACTTCCATAATGTGTCATTTTTCTGTCATTACTTTCTGATGGCATTTCAGGTTCTTTGCAGATTTCACAAATACACGTTATAACCATCACAGAGACCACATTCTTCTGCTCTCCTACATGGGCAAACCATAGTTACTCACTTTTGACAATTTAATTTTGATGTTGGATATTTAATCCTAAAAGCTGGCAAATATCGATAATCAAGGCCCATTGTAGCTGAGCGTCATAAAACGAATGAGAATATTTTAATATCTAAGAAAAAGCTATTCAGAGTAAGCTGGTGAAATTTGGATGCATAAATCATCACCATCATATCTCTATTTTTAACAGTAATCAAAATTACTTAAATCCTGTTGCTCTCATATCTAAATCTGTCATTAGCTGTTTCTGACTGTTTCAGATTTTATTCAGCCTGTATCCAGATCAAGGAAAGTTCTGGCAGTTGTTGGCTGTGTCACCGCTGGAAAGCTACTGTATCCAAAATATACAAGGAGATGGTCCGTCRCCCAGGGTCCAGATCCACCAAGCAGGAATTATTACAGCTGTCACCTGGTTTTGATGATTGCTTTGTCTCTTCATATTTTGWGTTTCCTCTTGACTGTTTGTGTGCTCTGTAACTTTTTGTTAAAAGCCACACACATTCTATAGGATTCTGAGTAGATTCTGAGGTCAGTAGTTTTTAAGATTGGAGATGAGCCAGCCGTATCTTAACTTCTGTAGGCACTAGTTGGAGGGTTGATGTAAATCTAGTCAGAAGTCACCTGTGCTCAGGTTTGTGGTTGCTATGGGAATCTGGTGCACTWGACACTTGGAATTACCAGGCCTCTAGCCAGACTGTCTGCAAGGACTTGCTCTATTCCTGACCCTTCCACTGCATAGAGCTACTCTCTCCCTCTTCCCCTCTCCCAGCTACTGGGTTTCCGCAGAACCCTCAACTACCAGATGATGCAATTCCCAAGCAAATTAGGGTTTTTACACCTTTGGGGAGACAGAGGAGGGGGATGTGGGTGGAGTTTGACAGTGGTTGCCATCTCTTCCAACTGGGAATGTTGGGATCTGCTCTCTCTGAATCCTCTCCAGTCTTGTCTTCCCTGTGGGCACTTGCGGGGGTTCCTGGAAGAGTCTCTACCCCCGAGTCTCTGAGCTTCTTGTTCTCATACCAGCTCACACCTGAGCAGTTTCTGAATTTCCTGGTTTGAGCTTGCCTGTTTCTATAGTGTGGTGGCAGCACTTGTGCCAGGACAGCAGAGCCCCAACTCGTTTTTCCTGAAGATTTCAGGCTTATTGTTTGCCCTGATCTCATTCTGGAAGAAGCAATAAGCCAGTCACTTATGTTTGTCCAGTCTTTTCTGGTGGAAAGGGCACTTTTCCAGTTGTTTACACGTTCAGTTAAGACTGGATGTCCAGAGCTGCACTTGGAATAGACAGTTAGCTTCAGATGCCTGAGCATGAGACCCCAGAAAACTGCTCAGAGCAGTGGGAGTCAGTGGTGAGCCCTGGGAGGAGATGCTTCTTAGAAAGGGGAGTGGTATGGGGGAGAAGGTGAGGAAAGAGAAGGAGGAAGAGGAAGCTCTGGCTAGGTCAAGAATTTCTGATTACACTAACCCCCCACATCTATAGTTTCACTTTCCAAGGTTTCAGTTACCAACAGGTTTTTTGCTGGGGGGTGGGTGGGTACCAGGGATTGAACTCAGGTGCACTTGATCACTGAGCCGCATCCCTAGCCCTGTTTTGTATTTTATTTAGGGACAGGGTCTCACTGAGTTGCTTAGTGCCTTGCTTTTGCTGAGGCTGGCTTTGGACCCATGATCCTCCTGCCTCAGTCTCTAGAGCCGCTGGGATGACAGGCAGGTGCCACTGCACTTATATCAGTTACCCACAGTTAATTGGGGTCCATAATATTAACTGAAAAATTTACATGGATTTAAACAATTCATAAATTTTAAATTGTGTGCTRTTCTAAGTGGTATAATGTAATCTTGAGCAGCTGTCCCACTCTGCCTGACCTGGGACATGAATCATCCCTCTATTCAGTGTGTTCATGCTGCATATACTACCCTCCTGGTTAGTCACTTAGTAGCCRTCTCAGTTTTCACAGACGTCATGATTTTAGTGCTTGTGTTCTGGTATCCCTTATATCACTTAATGATGGCCCCCAAACAGAAGAGTAGTGATTCTGGCATTTTGGATATGCCAAACTGGAAATTGCTTCATTTAAGTGAAAAGGTGAACCTTCTTGGTATGGACATAGGGAAGGGTACTATCTGTGGTTTTAGGTTCCATGGAGGTCTAGGATTGTACCCCCCATACACAAGGGCGATTATTTYCCCCCTTTTAAGGAATCAATTCATTTAAAGAAATAAATGGCAAATTTTTTTTTTCAACTGTAGTGTCTTTGAATTTTAACCTTTGAAAACTGAAATTTTAGGAAATTGGGTCATTTCCTCAAAGTCAGTTGCAGTCTGCCGCATAGTTTTGTTTTCTTAAGTCCTTCTGGGGAGTCTCCCTCATCTTCCCAGGAGACCCTCTCTSTGAGCCAAGTGATTCACACACAGAAGGTAGCAGCAGCCCTCTGGAAAGGCCTGAACTCAAGGTCCTTAGATGAGCCCAGGAGCATGGTCCATGTGCATCCTTCTGTCTCAAAAACCAGAAGGGCCCAGTCCACCTGCCCCAGGACAGAGTCACTCTGATGCCCAACTGAGCACTTCCTCTTGTCTTTGTATTTCCTTTAAAGTCACTTTAAARTTGTGACTTGACTTTTGTCTAAGAAGTGTCTTTCTGAGAGAGAACTGAAGAGCTCTAGGATTTTGATAAACTTGTTTCTCATTCTTCTTCCTTTACCTCCCTTCCACCTCTATGGCTGGAAAAAAAAACAAACACTAAGACTTCTTCCTTCTTTTCCCTGGCTCTGCGGGGGGCCTTCTCAAAGTCCTGGCTTCATGGTGGCCCCTGGGATATGGATGTTRCCCTCCCTCTGGGTGGTTTCACTTCAGGTAGTTACCACCTGCAGAGAACCTGGTGGGAGGGCCTTGATCCTGATCAGACATTGTTCAGTGAGACACAGGTCGGGGGTGGGGTGGGGAGGTGTTGAGGGAGTCTGGTGATTGGACACTTTCAATRCTCTGCCTGGGCAGCCTGGTGAACACCAACACCGACAACCTTATCAGTCAGTACATARGTTAGGTAAGCACAGCAGATTTGCACAAGGAGATGGGTCCTAACAACAAAAAATGCCGTCTGTCCATCCCACCCATCTGCAGTGTATCACTTTTTTCTAAAGCATTTTGGTAAAGTTTCTTCCTGAGAAGTCAAATGTGCCAGGCCCTGCTCAGGATTCAGTGACCCATCTATTCCAATGAGCCCTTCTTTCTGGTCAGCAGGAGTGATCAGGGAGCGCTTTCTTCTGCTCTCCCACTGCCTTGCATGTTTAGATGAAGGGAGAGAGAGGTGGAGGGAGCCTGGCAAGAAGGTGAGTCTGTGGAGCGTCACCTTCTGTGAGGGCCGGTGAGTTCCCTGCTGGCTCCTTGGGAAAATGCATGATTGTCTTATGGATTTCCTAGGGATTTCTTCCTGTGGARGCTCATGGATCCTCTCCCAAGATCCTGGACTAAGGTTCCACTRTAGGGGTTTGTGAAAGCAGTTGTCCTTGGGCCTGCCTGGAGAGGAGCTGGTGCCTTAGACACTGCAGAGGATGCTCCTGGATGCCCCAGAGAGCAAAAAACTGCTGGATTTTAAGAAGGGGCTAGAACCTTTAAGGGTGATTCTCAGGGAAAGTGCATTAAGTGTAGACCTGGGGTAGGAGGTGATTCAGGACTGATGCTGAAAGACCAATGGCAGCATCCTGTGGTTGTCCTTTGAGCAAACAGCCCTGCGCCCTCCCTTTCTGACTGACCTGTGGCTGGCCCCTTGGGTGGGATCTGGAGGAGGTACATGGTAGTGGTGGTGTCTATTGGGATGGGAAGTGCTTTTGGGGAAAGCATCACTTCCCCTGAGTTGGGGAATAATAAAGTTACCATTCCCTGGTGAACTTCTGTCTCCTTGCAACAGTCAGACTGTGTCAGCTCAGTAATTACAGGGTTTATTTTAGAAACCTGTAATTGCAGGCACCTGAAGTTCTTTGTCCCTGAATTGTTGTCTATGCTTGTTATGAGGAAGGTCTGTCAAAGGCGCCTAGGTCATGAGGAAATGAGGAGGCCGGCAAACCTTGACCTGCAGGTCCCTTAGGCTGGCCCTCCTGCCTTCCCTCCCTCCTTCCTCCCTCTTTCCCTTCTGCCTTCCCTCCCTCYCTTCCTTCCTCTAGCCCTCCCTCTCCGATTCCTTCTTCCCTTCTCTCTCCCTTCTTTCTTTCCTTTTTCACCACCACTTCTTCCTTCTTTTTTTCTCATTCCATCTCCCTCCTTCTGTCTTTTACCCCACGTCTGCCTTCCTTCCTTCCTTCCTTCCCCCCTCTCTCTCTCTCTCTCTCTCTCTCTCTCTCTCTCTCTCTCTCTCTCTCTCTCTGACTTGTAGCCAGGGTTCTCAGAATGTTAAAGAAACAGTATGCCCAGTGTAGGGGTGTTATTACAATCCTCCCCCTACCCTCCTAGGCTTTCCAATGGGGACCTTGTAAATTAAACTGACAAAAGACAGATTAATAAGAAAAAACATATCAAGAGATTAAATATAAAGTATTGGCTTACATGATTATGGAGGCTGAGAAGTCCACAATCTTCCTCTGCAAGCTTGGAGATCCAGGAAAAGCAGTGCTATAGCTTGAGGGCATCAACTTGGAGAGCTGCTGGGATCTATTCCAGTCCACACCTGAAGGCCTGAGAGCCTGGAATGTCTAAGGCAGAACAGTGTCTCATCTCCATCGTCAAGCAGAGAGCAAATCCCCCTCCTCCCCCTTTGGTTCTACTGGGACCCTCATTGAATTTGATAATGCTCACCTGCATTGGGGAGGGCCAGTTCCAATGCCCATCTCAGAAACACCCTCATAGACACCCAGAAATAATGCTTCACCAAACATCTGGGCATGCCGTGGTCTAGCCAAGTTGCCTCCCATGTTAACTATCACAGGGGAAAAAGAGGAACTTGATCAGGTATCGGGGATGGAATGATATCCTACTAGAATTAAGACCAGCAAATCAAGGATRAAGCCAAGATTAAGGCCTAGTGTAGATGAGGGCTCAGATGAGCCAGAGCACAGTTTGGCCAAGAAGGAAATCTTCACCAGGTGTTAACTGAGCTCCACGTTGGATGGCTCTGTAGCAAACTGAAAGGTAAGCCTTTGAGGGCTTTTTAGTTTAGGTGGAAGCGAAGGTCCCTCTTCAGGCTCTCCTGGACTGTTCCATGTCCTGAGGTGGCTCATATCTTCCTCCACACGGTGTGTGGGGCCTCCAGGACTCCTGCCTACTCCACACAGCCAGCAGCAGARCAGAGCAGAGCAGAAGGGGAAGCACACCAGGGGCTGGGGGAGGGAGCCTCAGTGCTCACAGGAAGATTCACAGAGGGAGTCTTGAGTTAGATCTAGAATGATGGGTTTAGAAAATGGGAAAAGCAGGAAGATTGTAGCTGATGCAGCTGGTGAATGGAGGCGATTTCTCCGTTTTCTTTTCTCCTTGCTCCCCGCAGGCTGGGACTCTGGGCTAGTTTCATCAAACTTCCATGATGATGCTGTAAACAAGTATTTATTAACTCAACAAATAGTGATTAGGGACATCTAATGTAATGAGAAGTAAAAAATAAATAAGAAATAATTCTGTCCCTTGAGGAACTAGATCAGTTGGGCAGAAAAATCTAAAACAAACTGCAGTACAGCGTGAATAAACACTTTAATAGCAGAGTTTGCAGTCTGCATTAGAACGTGGGAAGGAGTGGTGGAACCCACTTGGGTTGAGATGCAGAGGTCAAGGACAGACTTAGAGGATGTGGGGCAAAGGCTCTGGTTCAGAGGGAGATGTGGAACTGYGTGTTTGGGATCACAGTGGACAGTTCACTGTAGCTGGAAGACAGTGTGAAAGCTGGACATGAGGGCGGGGCTCAGTCTGGTGGATCCTTTCTGCTGGAACTTCAGAGTGGCCTTTGAGCCCTGAGCATGTGGTGAGCATCCAGAGGATGAGAGGAAAGGAAGGCCTTATGTCCCTTGGGTTTTGTGTGAACTCCATATGGGTGGTTAATTTTAGAGTATTTTAATTAATATTACTTGGTTATCTATCTCCCCAGGAGGGCTTGAGACCCCATGACAAAGGCTTTGCTTATCCATGTCTCTGCTCAAATACCAGAGGAAGAAGCCTGCTGTGCTTCTGATGGTGGCCTCCAGGTGGCACTGTTCCACCTCCTGGTGTCTGCATGGTCTGGAATCTATTTTGTGCTAAGCTATTTGTCCTGCGTCTGCTGTGGGGGAAAGACCAGGACAGGAATAATTTTGAAGWATAGCAGAAGCAGCAGAGTCTCTCGGGCATTTTCTTTGCCCCATGTGTGACTTCCATTTTCCATTTGTCCTTTCTGAGGCTCAAGTAGCTGTAGAGGTGTGTGCAGGGGCTGTCCAGTTGAGGGCTGGGGACAGCTGTCCCTTCTGTTCTCTCACATAGACAACAGGACTGATAAGACACTTTCTTTACTAGAAAGCTTTTGCAATTTTTTTTTAAAACAATGCATTTTGCCGGAGGAACAATGAAAAGAATGAACTATTCACCCACCCTCCCCAACACTCAATGCAAATCTTGTAGATACTCTGGCAACAGGGAAGTTCCCCCCCCCCACCCCACCCTGCCTCCCCAGGTCTGCTCTATAAGCTAGCTGTTTCTTTCATTTAAGGAAGAACAAAGGAATTGGCTCATGAATCATCCTAACACCAGTGAGCTTCTGCTAAAAGACTTTGGAGACCTGACATCAAACACATACAATTGTGAAATTTATTTTTCTACCTACAACAGTTTTTTCTTCTGGATCAAGACTGACTGGCTAGAGGTTGTGTAGATTCTCTRTCACTTTTAGACACCTTGTTTCCCCCTAGGACCTTGTAGCAAGGGTGAGAGGTTCTAGAGTCAGCCCAGAGCAGGTAGAGGCTGAGGAGCGGGGCTCCTACATTTGTATCACATATACGTGCAAGGTTTTAGGAGCTGCGGGGAAGAGCTGCTGTGGGGCCCTAAGTACCATGGGAGGCTGTGGTAAGGTGGAAGGAGCCTCTTTTTATAACAGTTCGTCCTTGATCAAGAGCCTTTCAGTGTGCTTTGAAGGAATTTCTACCCTCTCACTATTGTGAACGTCATTGATTCCATCAATTTCAGATCTCTCTTTCTGTTTTTCTTTTTTTTTTTGTTCCTTTTGCTTTCTTTCTTTCTGTACTGGTCATTGAGCCTGGGGATGCTCTACCACTAAGCTATATCACTACACTTCTAGCCCTTTTTATTTTAAGACAGTGTTTYGTTAAGTTGCTGAGGCTGGCCTCAAACTTGCCATCCTCCTGCCTCAGACTCCAGAGTAGCTTGGATTACAGTTGTGTGCCACTGCAGAACCCAATTTCAAAATTCTTTACTTTTTGTGATCTCTCATTTGTAGACACATGGACCTGACATCCTAGGATGTGTGTGTAGATTTGGATTAATTCATGAGTTCATTCATGCAGGCATCTGGCCTTCTGCCCACTGTGAGCTCATGAGCTTGGGTAGTTTTATGTTGGCTGCAAAAAATGAAAGCAGAGGTGACAGTCAGTAAGGTCAGAGAGATGCCTCACAGACCTTTCAGCAGAGGGTCCTAAACACAGTGAACGATGCACAACYGGTTGCATGTGTGGGAGAGAGGGGCTGAAGAGATAGGTAGTCAAGAGCATGGGGCCGTGGCAGGAAATGCCCCAGTGTGCACTTCTTTGTGCACTGTCCAAAGAGGACGTGTGTCCAGTGGGTGATTGGGGGACATTGGACTTCTCCTCTTTGCTTTGCGGTTCACCTTGACGTGCCCTCAGCTGTGAACCTCAGCAGCCGTGCAGACTCCATGCTGCTCCAGGTGGACCTGGCAGGGGCCCTGGAGACTGGTGGGCCAGGTCGTACCGGGAGAGAAGAACATGTCCTGGTAGAGGTGACCCAGACAGATGCACCGGGCTCCAGGCGGCGTCGGCAGCAGCAGGTTATGCTTATGTGTTATTTGAAAGGAATTGTAAAAATCTCATTTCATCTCATTATAAATTAGGTTTCCTCTTGAATGAATTTGATGGAAAGCCATAAGGCAATAGCGCCATTATTAGTCAAGCCATTGACGCTTATCTCCCTCTTTGTTGTTGAAATTCTCCTCCCCGCCACCTTTTTTTTTTTCTTCTAAATCATTTATAAGCTCTTGCCATTTCAGTAAAATCAGACTTGTGAGTTCTTCCCTCAGAATSATTTTACTGGGCCATTCAGGGAAACATTCTATATTCGAAAGTAGTTTTTGTTGTAAAGCGACACTCAACCTGGGCCTTACCCTATGTATAGAAGACACGCCAACACCACAGTGGCCTTGTGTCTGTGGGTAATTGCKGAGAGGACACAGGTCCCTGAGCTTCTGCATCTCTACCCGTGGGCCACTGAGCCTGGTCTTCAGCTCACATTCTTTAAAGGCRGTCTACACATAGGAGAGCCAGCAGCAGGGGTGGACATCAAAGGCAGGACACCTCTCTTTGCAGTTTGACTCATCTCCTGAGTGCTGGCTTCAGCGACCCCACTGGATTGTCACAGTGCCTTCTGCACGGAAGTCATATTCCTCGTTCATGGGTTTCCCTTGATATCACCAACCAGTGGGAGAAACCCCTGCCTGTGTCYAGGGCTGTACCCCTCACATTTTCCTGCTGTGCAGAGTGTGGTTCACAGAGYAGAGGCCTAATTATGAACAAGGATGCAATTTCCTGGTCAGTGGCTGGTACAATACAACATTCCAAAGCCGGCTGCGCTGGCCGAGGTCTGAGGACATAACCTTGGTCCTGCACAGTTCACTGGCAAGGGGCTCACTGGTAATGAAAGAGGAGGACACACCTCTGCCAACCCCACATCCATGACCTTTATTTCGAAGAAGTTGGGACAATCTGCTCTCTTTAAAACATTATTTCATAATAATAAATCTGAATTGATACACTATTGATGCATACTTACGGGGCATGATAGTTTGATACATGCGTAACCATGGGTAATGATCAAATCAGGGTATCTCAAATCAGGTATCTCCTCCAACATTTATCATTTCTATGTGTAAGAGAGCTTCAGACTCTTCTAGTTGTTTTGAAATAGATCACAAATTGTTGACTGTAGTTACCCTACGGTGCTATAGAACACTAGAGCTAATTCCTGCTGTCTAGCTGCCTTCTCAGCACATGCATATTTATAACTCAAATTAAATGAGCTATATCAAGCTTCCCTGCACTCACAGGAAGGCGCTTCATAACATGTTGACACTCCCCAAATGCCCAMGTACAAATCCAGCTCCAGAAACGCAAAGATCACAAGAGCTTTACTGAAACACTTTTTCCTTGAATATGCTCTTTACGAGCACCCAAATATTTTAAGAGAATTCCTGTTCTTTTATGCATATGCTTCTCKGCTTTGACCAATTTCAGAATTCCTAATTTCAATTTCCTTTGTGATTTGTGTGTAGACTTTAGTCCTCCCAGAGAAAGTTTCCTCTCCTGTCCATCAGGCTGCCCCTCTCCATCTGTCCATGGCACCCTGCTCTGCTGGGGACAAGGATGTGAGGGCAGGTTTGCCTGCCACACATGTGGCTCCGTGTCAGGCCTGTTCTGGTGGGGCTCTTGTGACATGGGGTGTGGAGAGTTTTCTGTGGGAGGGTTTGTTGTTTCCAGGTTGCGACCAGGAAGCGTTTCTAAGGAAGCATTTCTTTGTAAGTTGCCTTGGAGAACTCCAAAGGGTTCTCTAAGTCTTTAATAATCGTGGTGATTTCTTTTACTTATAAYAAATCAGTATGGTAGGCCCTTCCTACCCACAAGTTCTACATCCAAGGATTTAACCAAATTGCAGATTGCAAATTTTTGCAAGAAAAATTGTGTCTGTACTGAACATGCACATTTTTTTCCTTGTGATTATTCCCTAAATGATACAGAGTAACAACTATTTACACAGCATTTACATTGTATAGGTATCATAAGAAATCTAGAGATGATTTTAAGTGTAAGAAGGATGTGTGTAGATTATATGCAAGTACTAAGCCATTTGGGCAAGGAACTTGAGTGTCCACAAATTTTGGCATACTTGGGGTTCCTGGAAACAATCCCCTGCAGAAACGGAGGGAAGAYTGTATTTACTTCTATGCTTTTCTTACCTTTGTATACAAATTCTGTATTTGTTCTTCTGTGTTCTTTTTTCTTAATACCCCCTTAATTCCCATATCCATATAACCTGGACAAGCTCCTAATGTTAAGGATGCAGGAATTCATATTAAAAAATGGTCTTCTATTATTCTCTTCCTCTTTTACTTATTTTAAATAAAGACCTACACTGAATGGAACCAGATATCCCAGATGAGATTTCAAGTGAAAAGTCTTACCACAATTTTATGTTTTGGCTTTTACAGGTCACTCACAATTGGACGGTAGTTTTAAATCCCAGAAGAAGTGAGCATTCAGTGGTGAGCAGGACCTTTGAGATACTGAACAGGTGGGTCCTCAGGCGAGACAGGCCTTGAGCAGACGGTCTCACTGTCTTGTCTTTTTTTTGTTGGTGTAACAGAATACCSGAGACTGGGCCATTGATGAAGATTGGAAGTTTAATTGGCTTACTGTTCTGGAGGCTGGGAAGTCCAAGATCCTGGTGCCAACATTTGCTTGGCATCTTAAGGATTTGCTACCTGGTGACATAGTGGAGGCCATCCCATGGAGAGACAAAGCAAGTGTGCTTGCTCAGGTCTCTTTCTCTCCTTCTAAAGCCACTATTGTCATCCACTCTGCCTTCCTGACCTCACCTAAGCCTAATAATGTCCCAAAGTCATTACCTCCCAATTCTATCCTCATATGAATTTGAGAATTAAGTTTCTTTTGGGGGAATGTATTCAATCGTAGTACTTGCCTATAAGTTTGATTTCTAGGACACCAGACTTTGGCACAAATAGCAATAGATGTGTCGTGTGGTTTGGATGTGGTGCTCACGCAGTGTAGAAAGTGAATACAAAGACTGCCTGAGGACTCTCCTCTTGGCTTCCAGAGGCCACCTTCTTGCTGGGTCCTGCTGGGTCATCCCTTTGTGTGTCTTTGTCTCTTCTCATAGGGACACCAATCCTACTGGATGAGGACCCACCTAAGTGACTCCTTTAACCTTTATTACCTCTTTGAAGACCCTACCTTGAGTACAGTCACATTCGGAGGTGCTGGGGGTTAGGAATTCAACATGTGAATTTGGGGGGGGATGCGATTAGACTCATAAAAGTTATTGACTGACCTTTAAAAAGTGCTTCAGCTGCATGCGTTTACTGGCAAATACCATAATATGTGGTATTTTGCTAGAGCAAAACAAGGGAAAAGAAAGGCAGGGGACACGGTGAAAAAGGAAAGGAGATCAGTGGAATGAAGGAGGAGGGTTGAGGGTGAGGGAGGGATGGCAAMGGGGAGGAACAGTGGAATGAGGCTGATCAAATTACACTGTGTGCTTGTGCATTCACCTRTACCCTGGTGCGTTCCACCTTTACGTATCTGTAAAATACCAATGTATAAAAACAATAAATAGATGGGGGAAGACCAGTGGAAATAGCAGAGGGAGAACAGGCAGTGGGGAAGGAGATACTGGGGACAGAAATGGAGCAAATTATATTTCATGCTTGTGTGGTTACATCGACAGGAACCCCACTGTYATGTATAGCTATAAAGCACTCATAGAAACACACACAAAAAGAAAATATCTTCATCATCACTAAAGGGGAAAAAAGTGCTTCAGCTTCAGCATGCTACAAACTTCTGATTTTTCACCGCCTTCTTGTTTGTGGCGCTTTATCCCACAATCAGAGACTGAAGTCTAAAGAGTTGGTTTTGCTGTTTGTTAGCAGACAGATCAGCCATATGCTGGTGAGGAAGATGAGCCGAAGCTAAAATAGCTGTGCAGGCCCCTGCTTTCAGTCTAGGGTCAGAGTAGCACCTGCAGGGACACACTGAGGATGGGGGCCAGGGAGCCTTCATTTTTTGGGTCTTTTTGGCCATAGAAGGGCTGCATGCTGCACCTCATGATGCTGACCATGATGCTCGGTGCTCTTCCATCTGTGACACCAGGCATTTGGCTGGATCACTCTGAGATCCATTTGGGCTCTGGTTATGACCTGGCTGACTTGGGTTAGAAAGGACACTAAAGGAATTGTTGTTCTGGGGTGTACTGGTAATTTACAACCAACTGTTGACCTAGGATTTGTTTCCCTGGCCAGCTGCAAAGTCTTTGCTTGATTCTGCAGAGAGACTGTTTCCATCAGCATCCGGGCCTCCCTCCAGCAGACCCAGGTTGTTCCTCTTTTGCTGGCTCATCAGTACCTGCGGGCAAGTATAGAAGCACAAGTGACCATCGCCGCGGCCATCCTTGCAGGGGTCTACGTGCTCATCATATTTGAGGTAATCATCATGCCTGTTCTGCTTGATTTACTACTGCCCATGATCGGGATATTTTAACTTGTTAGATGCTTTGCTGAGCTCATTCCCGACCACTTCATCTGGAACAGTGTCCATCCTAGAAATTAGCACATCCCTCATTCCACATAGAAAATAGAACAGTAGCAGAGTATTTGCTGAATCTTGGACACTTGAAGTATGCAAGATGAGTTGTGAGGGGACCAGCAAATAGGTACATGAGGAAATGGGATAACATGATTTTCTGATCACTCCAAGTATGACTTTTAGGGGTGACCTTGATCAGACACGTTTTGAACTTCTCTGAGACTCAGAATCTCCATCTGTATGATGGGCATACTACCACCCCCTACATGCTTCAGAGGATGGACACACAGGGGTCATGGAAAACCCACTGGCTGTGCGAGGCAGAATTATTATCTTTCACATGTTATCAATTTGCTAATGGGCATTTTCACAAATGATCTTAAATCCTGCCAATTTGATGTTCCTGGAAAATTATGTGTCTTTATCCTGAATAGCATGAAGTAAAGTACAAACACTTTCTGGTGGGACATGTACATTGTTGACTTAACTGTGACACCAAACATCACAGTAGCACRTTGACAGGAATGTTGGTTCAGCGTGTCGGCTGCAAGATGAGTGGCTGATGTGAATCTGAAGAGGCACATCTTAACGAGCCTGGGWCGGGTATGAGAAATTGCTTGGAATTGTCAAGGAGGTGGCCAGCAGCAAGAACAGCCAGGAAAGTTCTGGAACTTTGAGTTTTTTCTTTTTTTTTTCTTTCTTTCTTTTTTTTTTTAAACATACCAGAATATACTTTATTTATTTATTTAATATTAGACATTTTATTTTTATTTTTTATTTTTTTAGTTTTATTAAATTTTTTAAATACATGACATGAATTTATATCTTCTGTCATTAAATACATGACAGCAGAGTACATTACAGTTCTTATTACATGAATAGAGCACAGTTTTTCATATCTCTGTATATAGAGTATGTTCATGCCAATTCATGCCTTTATACGTGTACTTTTTTTTTGTATGACAATTCCAACTCTGGGATGGGGACCATTACAATGAACATGCTAAGGGTCACCCTCACCCCTTAGACTCAATCGGGCATTACTGGACAAAAACACGGAGTAGGCGTCCCTGTCCTGAGCTGGAGGAAGCGGCACATTCTCCAGAAGAGGAGTCCTTCTGGAATCTGCCTATTGGCTTTTATAGTTTTTTTCTTTTTAATTGACACATAATAATTGTACATATTTATGGGGTACAGTGTGATAATTCAATACATGTACCCAGTGTGTGATAACCAAATCAGGGTAGGTAGCATTTACATCCGTATCATATTTATGTTTGGGTCCTCCATGGTCCTCTCTTCTAGTTCTTCATTAAATATATAATAGGTGTTGCCAACTATGTCTCTCTACTACATGGTAGAACTCTAGAGCTCATTCCTCTGCGTATCTGTTTTAGTACTCTTTGTTCAACCTCCTGCTATCTCTGTCCCCCATGCCCTTCTCAGCCTCTAATAATCATTATTTCARTCTTTTCTTCTTTGGGACCAACTTTTTAAGCTTCTGCTTGTGCAGTATTTGTATTTCTGAATTTGGTGTATTTCAATTCACATAATGACCTCTGGTTCCATTCATTTTGCTACAATTGACAGGATTTCATTTCTTATGGCCAAATAATATTCCATCATACTTTTTCCATTTCTGATAGACACCTTGGTTGATTCCTTATCTTGGCTATTATAAATAGTGTTGCAATAAACATGGAAGTGCATGCATCTCTTCAATGTAATGATTCATTGTGATATATTTTTACGTGTACATAACATACTTGGATTAATCTCACTCCCCAGTTCTCTYTGCTTACTTCCCTCCCACTGGTCTCCTTCCATTACTCCACTGAGTACCACACTGTCTTGATTACTGCAACTATATCATAATTTTCATTCTGGAGTGAGTTATTCTTCCCACTTATCATTTTCTTCCCCCAAATTGTTCTAGCTATACAGTGGTCTTTGTCTTTCCATATACATGTTAGAATAACCTTATAGTCTACGAGTATGGTTTGTCTCTTGATTTATTTTGGTCTTCTTAGGTTTTTTTTTTTTTTTAAATTTCATCATACCGATCCTTTACATATTGTGATAAAACTTTATGTCTTTTCTTTTGAGCAATTATAAATGGTATTGAGTATTTATTTTGTTTTCTACTTGTTTTTATCAATCCATGTAAATGCAATCGTTTTTTTTTTTTGTGTGTGTGTGTGTGTGTTAATATTGTGTCCTGTTATTTTCCTAAACTTACTTTTTARTCCTTGGGGATTAAAAAAGTAGAATCCTTGATATTTTATATGTAGATAATCATRTTACTTATAATGGGGACAGCTTTATTTCTTTCCWATCTGTATCCCTTCAATTTCCTTTTCTTGCTAAGTCACTGTGGCTAGAATGAGAGTGATGAAAATGGACATCTTTGCCTTGTCCCAGGTTGTGAAGGGAAAGCTTTCAGTCTTTCATCTTTAAATATATTAATTTTAGATGTTTTGTAGATTTTTTTATGATACTGAGGAAATTCCTTTCTTTTCCTACTGTACTAAGAGTTTTTACTATAATTGGGTATTGAATTTTGTCATTGCCTTTTCTGCATCAATTGATGTTATCATATGATTTGTCTTCATTAGCTGTTTGGTGTGGGTGACTACAYTGATTTATTTCAGAATATTGGACCAGACTTGAATACGTGGAACAATATTTTTTTCTGATGTATGTATTATTAAAATTTTATTGCTGTCATTACTTGCTTTAGTTGCCATATACAGGTTTTGATCTGTTGAATTTCAGGTTAATTTTGTTTCTCTATTTAAAAATTGTCTTCCTTTTTGATACATATGTGATTCACACATATGTTGTTTAGTTTTCAAATCTTAGGAATGTTTCTGTTGTCTTTCTTTGCAGTATTATAGTTTGATTCATTTTTGGTCAGAGCCACTTATTCCACATTCAATTCTTTAAATTTATCAATATTTCATGGTCCAGGTTTATGGTATGTCTTGGTGAGTCTTCTGTGGGCTTAAATAATGTAATTTTCCCTGTTTTAAACACTAGTGTAACTTTCAAGTAGAAATCCTGTATAATTAGACCTTGTTAGTAACAACTCATGAAATACCAACCCTGCCCTTTTGTTGTCTTGTGGCTTGATAGAAGGTGAAGAAGCTTGCAGAGGTATTGGGAGGATAGTGTCTTCTACTTTGTGTTTCTGAAACTCTTATGCTTCCAGAATTCCCTAGAGGTGCCCTCACCGGGGAGGGCCCACATTTTTGGAAGTGGGGAGAGAGGCTGGATGCTGTCACCACATCGATGAACTCTCCTGAAGTGGAGTCAGCATTGCAGCCTTCCTAGGATCTACTCCAGGGGCAGAATTTGCCTTGGATAAAGACTCAGAGGTTCCCTGAAGTCTGGGGGCAGATCTGTCTTCCCAGGGTGGAATGGAGGTCTCTAGACTCTGCAGGCAGGCACCCTAGGCTATCTGCACTTCACTCAGGAGAGTGAGTCTTGGGGTGGCTGCAGACTCACTCCTCCACTCTTCCTATCTGCTGTTGCCATCTGCTTCCCTGACACTGTGCTGCTCCTGCCTGTCTGACTCTCCCACCTCTGACCTGATCCTGCCTCACCTGCTCTGTTACTCTTTCTCACTTACCATGCATGTTGTTCAGTGTTGAGTCCCCGTGCCTGGCACAGGGCAGGGCCTAACAGATATTCATTAACAAAGTGTTCCCAGAGTGTCCCGATATTTGAGATGGGTCCTGAGTTCTGGGATTGGTTTAATGTGGTTCTTGGGCAGGAGGAGGGCACCATGACCCATGGCCCATGGCCCATGTGTGACTGAACAGGCACAAAGGCTCAGCCAAGGTTCCCATAGGTCTTTAATGGGTTTGAAGGGAAATTCCTTGGATTATTTGTACTTCTGGTCCTATAGATAATCCTGGCTGACATTTTCTTGGGGCCGTATTTCTCATCCTTGTTTAAAGTACTCTTTATTGAAAGCCTCAAAGAACAAAGTTGGAGCAGTCTTGCCTTTGCATCCATAACAGGGCTTCAGGAAATTTCTTAGTGCAGAATTCCAAAAGTACCATTAACACAACTAAGACTTTTAGGCCTTTGTACTGTACAAAATCATATTAAAGCAATTCTTACACAGTCGTATTGAAAAAATACTTCACAGCAGAAGGGAGATAATACTTCCCCTCTGTGTCCCACACCCAGCTTCTGGAATCATGTCTTGAGAAGATTGCTGCCATGGCTGCTTCCCGCTAGAAACACCAACCCTCTTTCCCTTCACCAGCTTTCTCCAATTGAGGCAAAGTGATCAGGCCAGAGGTAGGAGAGTCCGACAGGCAGGAGCAGCACAGTGTCAGGGGAGCAGCTGGCCACAGCAGACAGGAAGAGTGGAGGAGCGAGTCTGCAGGCGCCCCAAGACTCACTCTCCTGAGTGACATGAAGTGTGGAAGATCATATTTCATTGCTCTGGGTCCTTTCAAATTTAATTTAGGAGTTCATGTACTGTTTGTTTTAAAAARTTAACTGTGAAATTAAATTCGAGAGAGCTGAATGGAGAACACCTTTAGTCTTCCGGGGTCTTCACTTTAATTTACAGATATAAGAAGCATATTTAGAGAGAAGGAAGATGCTACCATTCAGAATGCAGTGTACACACCACAATGGTGTTTTTCAGTGGAAACCGCCGTACTAGGGTTTCTAATTTTGTTTCTTATTACATAGTTTGCAAAACTGAAATTTAAATTACAGCCATGGTCAATAGCTCTGCCTCCCAATTCATTTCCTTGTGTCTGCAAGCCTCTTCCTATTACCAATTTATGGAGTAATGACTGCTAAAGCATTGGGCAAACTCTGTCCATTACCTAATTCCAGAAGTACCTTTCATTTTCACTTTTGGAAAGGACTTT